GATGAACCCCTGGAAGTTTGTTTTCCATTGGGCTTTGCCCAGCGCGTCCAGCAGGCCCACCGAGGGCCGACTCCGGCAAGAGCCTCAGTGACCTGGGAACACTGGCTCCACTGGTAATAACCATCACAGCAGGCCTGATGTTGATGCATCTCTGCATATACCTGCTTGAAGAGGAAACATGGAACCTCGAGTTTTCTGAATTTAGATTCAGAGATGAACCAGACTGGCTGAAAACATTGTGTCAAACTAGAGCGATAAAAAACACCAGACACTCGTTTGTCTCATGCTAGTAGAAAGTCGCGTTTTCCTGATCCTCAATCTGTGCTACCTATAGCTCTGTGCTACCTATAGCTCTGTGCTACCTATAGCTCTGTGCTACCTGTATCTCTGTGCTACCTATAGCTCTGTGCTACCTGTATCTCTGTGCTACCTATAGCTCTGTGCTACCTGTAGCTCTGTGCTACCTATAGCTCTGTGCTACCTGTATCTCTGTGCTACCTATAGCTCTGTGCTACCTGTAGCTCTGTGCTACCTGTATCTCTGTGCTACCTATAGCTCTGTGCTACCTGTAGCTCTGTGCTACCTATAGCTCTGTGCTACCTGTAGCTCTGTGCTACCTATAGCTCTGTGCTACCTGTATCTCTGTGCTACCTATAGCTCTGTGCTACCTGTAGCTCTGTGCTACCTGTATCTCTGTGCTACCTATAGCTCTGTGCTACCTATAGCTCTGTGCTACCTGTAGCTCTGTGCTACAAATAGCTCTGTGCTACCTGTAGCTCTGTGCTACCTGTAGCTCTGTGCTACCTATAGCTCTGTGCTACCTGTAGCTCTGTGCTACCTGTCGCTCTGTGCTACCTGTAGCTCTGTGCTACCTGTAGCTCTGTGCTACCTGTCGCTCTGTGCTACCTGTAGCTCTGTGCTACCTGCAGCTCTGTGCTACCTATAGCTCTGTGCTACCTGTAGCTCTGTGCTACAAATAGCTCTGTGCTACCTGTAGCTCTGTGCTACCTGTAGCTCTGTGCTACCTATAGCTCTGTGCTACCTGTAGCTCTGTGCTACCTGTCGCTCTGTGCTACCTGTAGCTCTGTGCTACCTGTATCTCTGTGCTACCTGTAGCTCTGTGCTACCTATAGCTCTGTGCTACCTGTAGCTCTGTGCTACCTGTAGCTCTGTGCTACCTATAGCTCTGTGCTACCTTTAGCTCTGTGCTACCTGTAGCTCTGTGCTAGCTTTAGCTCTGTGCTACCTGTAGTTCTGTGCTGCCTATAGCTCTGTGCTACCTGTAGCTCTGTGCTACCTATAGCTCTGTGCTACCTGTAGCTCTGTGCTACCTGTAGCTCTGTGCTAGCTGTAGCTCTGTGCTACCTATAGCTCTGTGGTACCTGTAGCTCTGTGCTGCCTGTAGCTCTGTGCTACCTATAGCTCTGTGCTACCTGTAGCTCTGTGCTAGTTTTAGCTCTGTGCTACCTGTAGCTCTGTGCTACCTATAGCTCTGTGCTACCTGTAGCTCTGTGCTACCTATAGCTCTGTGCTACCTGTAGCTCTGTGCTAGCTTTAGCTCTGTGCTACCTATAGCTCTGTCCTACCTGTAGCTCTGTGCTAGCTTTAGCTCTGTGCTACCTGTAGTTCTGTGCTGCCTATAGCTCTGTGCTACCTGTAGCTCTGTGCAACCTATAGCTCTGTGCTACCTGTAGCTCTGTGCTAGCTTTAGCTCTGTGCTACCTATAGCTCTGTGCTACCTGTAGCTCTGTGCTAGCTTTAGCTCTGTGCTACCTGTAGCTCTGTGCTGCCTATAGCTCTGTGCTACCTGTAGCTCTGTGCTACCTGTAGCTCTGTGCTACCTATAGCTCTGTGCTACCTGTAGCTCTGTGCTACCTATAGCTCTGTGCTACCTGTAGCTCTGTGCTAGCTTTAGCTCTGTGCTACCTGTAGCTCTGTGCTGCCTATAGCTCTGTGCTACCTGTAGCTCTGTGCTACCTGTAGCTCTGTGCTACCTATAGCTCTGTGCTACCTGTAGCTCTGTGCTAGCTTTAGCTCTGTGCTACCTGTAGCTCTGTGCTATCTGTAGCTCTGTGCTACCTGTAGCTCTTTGCTACCTGTAGCTCTGTGCTACCTATAGCTCTGTGCTACCTGTAGCTCTGTGCTACCTGTAGCTCTGTGCTACCTATAGCTCTGTGCTACCTGTAGCTCTTTGCTACCTGTAGCTCTGTGCTACCTATAGCTCTGTGTTACCTGTAGCTCTGTGATACCTATAGCTCTGTCCTACCTGTAGCTCTGTGCTAGCTTTAGCTCTGTGCTACCTGTAGTTCTGTGCTGCCTATAGCTCTGTGCTACCTGTAGCTCTGTGCAACCTATAGCTCTGTGCTACCTGTAGCTCTGTGCTAGCTTTAGCTCTGTGCTACCTATAGCTCTGTGCTAGCTTTAGCTCTGTGCTACCTGTAGCTCTGTGCTGCCTATAGCTCTGTGCAACCTATAGCTCTGTGCTACCTGTAGCTCTGTGCTACCTATAGCTCTGTGCTACCTGTAGCTCTGTGCTAGCTTTAGCTCTGTGCTACCTGTAGCTCTTTGCTACCTGTAGCTCTGTGCTACCTGTAGCTCTGTGCTACCTGTAGCTCTTTGCTACCTGTAGCTCTGTGCTACCTGTAGCTCTGTGCTACCTATAGCTCTGTGCTACCTGTAGCTCTGTGCTACCTGTAGCTCTGTGCTACCTATAGCTCTGTGCTACCTGTAGCTCTTTGCTACCTGTAGCTCTGTGCTACCTATAGCTCTGTGTTACCTGTAGCTCTGTGCTACCTATAGCTCTGTCCTACCTGTAGCTCTGTGCTAGCTTTAGCTCTGTGCTACCTGTAGTTCTGTGCTGCCTATAGCTCTGTGCTACCTGTAGCTCTGTGCAACCTATAGCTCTGTGCTACCTGTAGCTCTGTGCTAGCTTTAGCTCTGTGCTACCTATAGCTCTGTGCTAGCTTTAGCTCTGTGCTACCTGTAGCTCTGTGCTGCCTATAGCTCTGTGCAACCTATAGCTCTGTGCTACCTGTAGCTCTGTGCTAGCTTTAGCTCTGTGCTACCTATAGCTCTGTGCTAGCTTTAGCTCTGTGCTACCTGTAGCTCTGTGCTACCTGTAGCTCTGTGCTACCTATAGCTCTGTGCTAGCTTTAGCTCTGTGCTACCTGTAGCTCTGTGCTGCCTATAGCTCTGTGCTACCTGTAGCTCTGTGCTACCTGTAGCTCTGTGCTACCTATAGCTCTGTGCTACCTGTAGCTCTGTGCTAGCTTTAGCTCTGTGCTACCTGTAGCTCTTTGCTACCTGTAGCTCTGTGCTACCTGTAGCTCTGTGCTACCTGTAGCTCTTTGCTACCTGTAGCTCTGTGCTACCTGTAGCTCTGTGCTACCTATAGCTCTGTGCTACCTGTAGCTCTGTGCTACCTGTAGCTCTGTGCTACCTATAGCTCTGTGCTACCTGTAGCTCTGTGCTACCTGTAGCTCTGTGCTACCTATAGCTCTGTGTTACCTGTAGCTCTGTGCTAGCTTTAGCTCTGTGCTACCTGTAGCTCTGTGCTGCCTATAGCTCTGTGCTACCTGTAGCTCTGTGCTAGCTTTAGCTCTGTGCTACCTGTAGCTCTGTGCTGCCTATAGCTCTGTGCTACCTGTAGCTCTGTGCTGCCTATAGCTCTGTGCTACCTGTAGCTCTGTGCTGCCTATAGCTCTGTGCTAGCTTTAGCTCTGTGCTACCTGTAGCTCTGTGCTACCTATAGCTCTGTGCTACCTGTAGCTCTGTGCTACCTGTAGCTCTGTGCTACCTATAGCTCTGTGCTACCTGTAGCTCTGTGCTAGCTGTTGCTCTGTGCTACCTATAGCTCTGTGCTAGCTGTAGCTCTGTGCTAGCTGTAGCTCTGTGCTGCCAGTAATTTTGGAATCAAATATGTACAATTATATCATTCCAGATTTTGCAGGCAGAATTTATTTTTTTTTTAAATACAATAAGTCCTCTTCTTTATCAGTGAGTCTAATTATCGAATAATATTGCAGTCATTAAATTGGTTAGTTTTTGCCTCCATCATCAGTTCCTGGTTTATCTTTCCTCTCATCGTCTCTTCTGTGGGAAACACGAGTTTGTGGTGAATTTCGAGGATTTCAGTAAAACCAAATTGATCCCTGGAGGTTTTTGATCTGATTGGTTAAACTGACAGGAAGGAGGATCATCAGAGGTGCAAAACTCGGAACTGGACTGAAGATCAGTCCAGTTTCGGAGATCTGAGCTGTTAGTAAATGACCGGCCACTGGGGCGCTAGACCATCCGGACTGAAATCATATTTCTGATCCTGATATTTTAACATTTCTCATAACAGACAGAAGTTACAAAGTTTCAGCTAAAGAGCTGAAGATGACCCGGAAATACCAGGGATTCTGCAGAACCGGACCGGGTGGAGGTGAGACATGAACCAGAGAATATGTGACCCGTTTTCATTCCAAACCAGATTCTGCTCTCTGTGTTTGTTTGGACCTCAGACGGAACCATTTCCTGGTTGGTTCCGTTCAGCTCCGGACTTCTCTGCATCTCAACATGTGAGTTTGTTTCTGGGTCCGTTTGGACCTCCAGATTCTGGTGGTCCAGGTGAAGCTCACCTGCCCTCCACTTTTCTTCTTCTTGATTATCTCTGAACGTTGCCGCGTTTGGCAAACGCCACTGCCCCCTCCTGGGGGTTGTGTGAATTAATACCTGAATCCAGAAATAGAAGAGATAGATTCTGCCATAAATTCACATTTTACCAATATTGTTGTCATTTGTGACGATAAACAATAACTAATAGCGTCTATTGCTGAGTAATGATCAGATAGGCTTTTATTATTTCAGTTCATAACCATCAAGAATAAGCTAATCTAATCAAACCAATCAGAAACATTCTGTGATTGATTCTGTGATTGATGGAGATGGTAATGGTGGTGTGCGATCAGGAAGTTTATGACGCTGCGTATGGAGCTATGAGTTTGTTCCAGTGGCAGGTTTTGCCTCGCCGTGCATTTCGTCTCCTCTGGCCTGAAAACGAAAGGCGACGCAGGAAAACATCCAGCATGCTGGGTCCTGGTTCTGTCCGTCACCTGCAGCTTTACTTCACAGACCCAGGAGTTCTGGGTTCCACAGGGAACGTCATTCCAGTTGTTTTCCATGTCAAAATGTCGGATTTCACCACAGTCTTCATCTGTGTCTTCATGGTTGTTTGGCTCCTAGAAACTGCAAATAAAAACAAGAACTTTTGTCCTTTAGACGCAGCGAGAAACTGCAGCTCACTGGAAACATCTTGGTGCTGAAATATGATTTCTTTGTCAATATTAAGTAATTATTTACTCAGAACAAGCAGATATTTCTTGTCAAAAAGTTACTTGTACCTTAGTTTTGTCTTATTTAGACCAAAAATACCTTTGAGTTTTTGCAGTGCACTAATTTTCATCTTTGTTTAGATTAAGATTTTATCTAAACAATAAAAATCAACCTTAGTTGATGAATTAGTCTTTGTTTTCAGAGCATTTTATTCACCACAAAGTTCTTTAACCAGATAAAAACAGGAGAAAATAAAACAAAAATATTCTGCTAAAATTAAAATACACAAAATAGTGTCTTCAAAACATAATGTTGCTCCACAGAATAAGGTAAATTTTAAATGAACCATGGATATGAAAATAATAATAAATCAGTTTAAACACTTGGTACAAATGTTAAATTATGTCAGTCACCAAATTAGTGGTGAATTTGCAGGTAATTGTTTAAGTATGGAAATATGGTGTTGCATTTCTGCTTAGAAAGTTTGTAAATGGAACAAAACAGATGTAATAAAATAATTATAAAATATGTAAAGTAAACTGAAATCGCTTTACATCTACCTATGAAACTGAACTCAGGTTAAAGTATGAGTGACTCCATATCAACTCGTGACTAATATCATGAACCAATATGTATTAATTTATAATATTCATTAACTTCAAGATAAACACTTTAGTGTCTCAGATTCTTCCAAAAGAGGCCTGAATAATGAGATCAGATTTTATTGAGATCAACCAGCCTGTCGTCGGGTCACTCATCTCACCAATCTGGACCTGCTGGACCTCTAACCTCTGACCTGGGGTTGAGTCGAGTCCCGTCCACCCATTCCCATTCTCCGGCCTTTTTCATCAGTCCGATCCAAACTTTGTGTCTCAACCGTCTCAGGAAGTTCTGCTCTTCTCTGCTGTTGATGGTCACCAGGTCGGCTCCTCTTCCCAGACAATAGTTTCTGCTTTTATTCCATGTTGTCATGGTGGAGGAAATGTAGTAGATGCTTGGACAAAATGTCGCCAACTGTTGTTTGAAGGAACTGGGCACTGGAAGAAAAGACAGAACCAAAACCACTGATTGTCTGAATTGTCTCTCCATCAAAAGTTACATTTTCAGTGAAACTGTGCTCTATTTTATGCTTTCAGCCATCTGGTCCCCGACTACCACTCAGAGCTCATCAAACATGAAGGACTTTGATGCAAACAGGACTAAAAGAAAGTTAGAGGCCCATTTCAGAGGCCCATCTTGAAATGGGCCTCTGTCTCTTTAAGAAACTCCTGTTCTGTCTGAAGCTCCGCCTCCAGGAAGTCATCAGAACAAGGCTCTTCTATTCACCTTTATCGTTTTTAGCAGTGTTGCTCTGTGAAGTAGCTCCTATAAACAGCTGATTGCTGAAATGAAATAAAAGTTTCATTTCTAGTTTGACCAGGATTCAAACCTGTTCTCTCAAGTTGCAGAGTTTTATTTTATTTTCTTTGTTTATATTGGTAGTCAAAGGGACAGCAGGAAGTGGGGGGTTTTGTTTTGGCCAGGCTGAAAGACTTCCTGCTGGATTTCTTCCTCTCTGTACTTTCATGTGGAGAATTTCTTTGTATGGAAATGAATTGCAAAGCTGCAGTCCAGCTGGATGGCACTACAATAACTGCACTATTGCAGGACAAGTAAAAATATGTATTGTGAAGCTATGCTGCTGAGCCACAGTCAAGTGTCTGTACATGAAAGCCGTTAAAGTTTCTTGAAATTTGTTCAAACACACATTGAGGAGAAATGAAGGACATCTTGAGTGAGATTTGAGTTTCTGTGGATTTGGCTCCACCTTGTGGCCAAACAGAGCATCGAGAGTCTCATTTTAACAGGCGATTCAAAAGGTCCAGAAATGTTGTAGTTTAAGCTAAAAATCAGGAAACACAGGAAAACCAAACCTGTTTGTGTTTCTTGCATCAGTAAAAGCATTTAGTTTGTTTGATTCGCTGCTGATCGATCAACAAACTCAGATTCAAACCAAACTGAAGAATGACTGAAACTGTGACAGCAGCTTAGTGCGGATTTGAAAAGGACTTTGGAAGATGCAGATATTTATGTTTAACATTAAATGAGCGATAAAAACATAGAGAGGATGAAAGAGCAATTGAGAAAACTTTGAGCTCATTTGGATGGATTTTTAAAAATGTTTTGAAAGTTTGAAGGTCAAATGAAACATTTTTCACATTTTTGTAGATGACCTTCAACCAGCCGTCTCCATATTAAACACATAAAGCCTGAGGCATAAAGCCATGTGCAGTTTGGCAGAAAGCCCATCAAATTTACAGCGCCACATAGTGGTGGACTTTGATAAGAACGAGCTGAACATGATTGATATCCTGCTGGAAATGATTCCTTTATTTCTATTTAGCCCAGAAAAGGTGCTGCAGGTTATGTGCTGCAGATTATGTGCTGCAGATTATGTGCTGCAGGTTATGTGCTGCAGGTTATGTGCTGCAGGTTATGTGCTGCAGGTTATGTGCTGCAGATTATGTGCTGCAGGTTATGTGCTGCAGGTTATGTGCTGCAGGTTATGTGCTGCAGATTATGTGCTGCAGGTTATGTGCTGCAGATTATGTGCTGCAGGTTATGTGCTGCAGGTTATGTGCTGCAGATTATGTGCTGCAGGTTATGTGCTGCAGATTATGTGCTGCAGGTTATGTGCTGCAGGTTATGTGCTGCAGGTTATGTGCTGCAGGTTATGTGCTGCAGGTTATGTGCTGCAGGTTATGTGCTGCAGGTTATGTGCTGCAGGTTATGTGCTGCAGATTATGTGCTGCAGGTTATGTGCTGCAGATTATGTGCTGCAGGTTATGTGCTGCAGATTATGTGCTGCAGGTTATGTGCTGCAGGTTATGTGCTGCAGGTTATGTGCTGCAGGTTATGTGCTGCAGGTTATGTGCTGCAGGTTATGTGCTGCAGGTTATGTGCTGCAGGTTATGTGCTGCAGGTATGTCTGCGTTACCATGTCAATGCTCTCTGTTTGCAGACAGGTGTCTCATTCTCTGAGGGATTCTGGTCCCACAAACTCACAGGCTCTTAAATCCACTTCCGGGTTTTCTGCCTCGCCGCCATAAACACAGAAAAGCCTTTTCATCTGTTGGATCCGAGCCGTTCGGGCTGCAGGCGTCTCAGCAGGTTGTGAGGTCTGGTTCTGGTCGGGTCCAGTCAGGTTCTTGTCAGGGTGACAGGAACAATCTGCGGTGTACAAAGTCAGTTTATTCTCACAAACATGAAACGGCGCTGACGGCTGCATGGTGTATTTATGTTTCTATTGATTTCTCTTTGCTAATCGTTTCGTTCCAATATGTCTGAAATGTCTGGATGTTCTCACCTGATGAGGCTTTTAACAGCCGACAGATTCAACAACATGACTTCATGTCACAGAACAAATTCATCTTGAAGCAAAAAGATACAGAAATATAGAAAAAGATTGGATTTCAATGATTGTTATAAGTTTTTATCAACATCCTGACGGTGAATCCAGCCGACCTGTTGAAGAACTTTATTCCATCCTGGAGCCGAATTTAATTACACAAAGAAACTCCCAGGATGTTTCCTTTCCTGCAAGATTGACTTTATCAAATCAAACGAGTTCGGCCTCCTTCATGTGTGACCTTCAGCTGGATCTGCTGGATCTGCTGGATCTGGCAACCCGAATCCAAATGTTTCCAGCAGAACCATCTGCTGTTAGGCTGCAGTTTGACTGGGAATGGACCAAACCAAGAAAATGTTTCTCCAGCCTTGCTGACCACTCAACGCTCACCTGTTCTCTCACACATTCATCCAGCCACACAGATCTGGAGGCAGCCGGGGTCAGTGCCTTGCTCACAGGCACATCAGCATGGAGGAAAGCCGGAACCAAACCCAAGTTTTCTGACTTTCTGATGACCAGGAAGCCATGCAGACAGGAAGTTGAAGTGAACTCACAGGAAGTCAGACGCAGTGAGATGTTGAGGGCAGATTGGAGGAGGCAGAGGAAACCGAAGCTCAGGAGCAGCAGAGGGAAAAGTTTTCCTCCTGCAAGAAGGAAAGAGAAACATTAGAAACATCAGATATTCTGGGTTTTATTGATTGTGATTGATTGTGTGTTTCTTCTGCAGAGCATCCTGCCGGGCGTGGAACCAGCAGCTTCTTCAGCCTCTCTGCTGGAGTCCAGTTTCTGTCCCGCCTGTCGTTCCTGCTGCCAGTTTTCTGATCTTGGTTGTTTCTGTGTATTTTGTGTTTCAAGGTCTGAGACCCTGCCGCAGCTTCCTCCTGCTGCAGCCTCCTCCTGCTGCAGCCTCCTCCTGCTGCAGCTTCCTCCTGCCGCAGCCTCCTCCTGCTGCAGCCTCCTCCTGCTGCAGCCTCCTCCTGCTGCAGCCTCCTCCTGCTGCAGCCGCCTCCTGCTGCAGCCTCCTCCTGCTGCAGCCTCCTCCTGCTGCAGCCTCCTCCTCCTGCTGCAGCTCCTCTGCTGCTGCAGCCTCCTGCCAGTCAGGATGCTCGGGAAGCAATTTCATTTTTGTTTTGGGGCCTAATATTCCCGGCGCGCCGCCGCTCCCATCATGGCTGCAGTCGACTGTGTGTGTTCACAGACTGAGGAAGTTTTTGCGTTCCTCTCAGTGAAGATGTCAGTGAGAACAGGAAGGATTTCTGCTGCTGTCATGTTCAGACCTACATGTGGTTATTAACTGATGTGGAGCAACAGCAGCAAACCGCAGAACGGACCTTAGAACATTTTCAAATGTGAAGTTTGTCCATAAACATTAATGCTGTCATCAATAGATAATCTGTGGGATTATTTTACCCACCTGGATTCTTCTTTAAATCTCTGCTGTTTGCTGCTGCTGCAGGTTCTTCATGTTCCTCTGACATCTGAAACGTCTCCATGTTTGGCTGACAGCTGGAACCTTCGGGTTCGGATCAGGAGGAATCGCCTCCTTCAGACTCTCTTTGTGTTTCCAACCTTTTTATGGCGCTTGATTTTTCAATTCAGCAGGAAAAGGAAGGACAACATAAATCGATGTATAAACAGCTTACAACAAATTAAATTAAGAAAATGTGTTAAGAAAGACCTTCATCTACATTTCAACAACATACAATCAGGAAATAAGGAGGCTCAGCTTGATGTAATTTCCTGTTTATAGTTTTAAAAATATTCATCTTCCTCTTTTTGTTTTAAAGCTGAAAAAAAGTTTCTAATATTTCTGTGAAATTCTCATGAGGAGAGAAGTGTTGATAAACCAAACTGTCTAGTAAAAACAAAGTTCTGGACTTACAGACGATGAAGATGTGGTTCTGATCCAGGGTCCAAACGGAGGAGGAAGCTCTGATGCGTCTGGTTCCTCCTCAGTCTGAAGCCAAATGACTGACGGTTCCGGTTCTGCTGAGCTGATCGGATCAGAGACCTCAGGACTTTAACTTCAGTCTCAAATTAATTCAGTTTCTGTTTTCCATCTCAGACTGAGGAACTTGTTGGTTTATAAATCACTGAACGGGTCGGAACCATTAAACATCTTAGATGGTTTTGTAAACTGAATTTAACGATGGTTCTTGACCTGCTGAACTTTGACCCATCAGGACCTCCATTCATCCATCAGAGGTCATGACAGATGTCATGTTAACGACAGTCTTTCAGTGAAGTGTCAGCTCGTTTCAACTCACTTCTCTCCTCACAGAAACAGTAGAAATAGCAGCTTGTGTCCAGCAGGTGGCGCTGGAGCAAGTGAAGGATTCCTGTTAATCCTGCAGATAATCTGAGGTTCTGCTTCCTGTTCAGGCAGAACCAGAGAGTCAGTCTGCTGCTCGGCTCATAAGTATTCATACCTCAGATCAACCTTTACATCAACTGGACATGAAAGGCAGGAAAAGCCAAACCCAGAAATCAAAAAGATTCAAATCTGAAAGTTTCAGATTTCAAGAATAATTGAAAAAAAAATCTTTAGCACAAAACCGTCTTCAGCCAGGGGTATGAATAATTCTGACCCAAACTTTTTCCCCAATGCAGTTTCCAGGTTCTGCCAGCAGGGGGCAGGGGAGCTCAGTCCTGCCAGATGCTTCGCTGCGCCAACATGGATCCGGTTCCGGCGCTGTTTGAATCAAATGAACGACTCGTTACCTGTTCATCGCGGAGCCTGGTCTGCTGGAGTAAGACTGAAACTAAAAGTTGCAGGACGGAAGTTCTCCAGGACTGGACTTGAGCTCCCCCGTTTCTGGCCACTTTATTAGGTATAGGTGTTCTAGTGCCGAACCGGAATCAGCCAATCAGAGCGCAGCAGCTGAATGTTTATTTTGTAAACATTTGGGTCAAAATGTTTTAACTGCGGCTGTTTAAGTTGATCCGGTACCAAAACCGCCTGGGCTCACTCCGGATCATAACGGATCCGGCCTCTGCAGAATCTGATTCACATCTTTGCAGGTTAAAGTTCTGCAGAGACTCTTTCTCCCCGGAGACCCTGAACGCCTCACGGCCTGCGGCAGAACCGAGTCAGAACCAGCAGACCGGACCTTTTCACAGCCAGGGTCAACATTTATTGGATCATTAAAACACCATCTTACAGTGAACATCTATTAAAATATTTTCTATTTACAGCAGGCCAGCCCAGCAGAGCTGCGGTCCAGTCAAAGGCCGAACATCTCCTGGGAGGCGTAGGTCATGTAGAGGAAGCCGTCGTCGTCCTGGTGGTCTTTGTAGACCTGAGCCATGGTGAGCGACAGAGTGGCCAGACTCTTTCTGTTGATGAACAGGTTGAAGGTCTGGTTGTGCAGCAGCGCCATCCGGTTCCTGGAGGGGAAACAGAACCATCAAACAGAACCTCTCCTGCTACCGGGTCAGAACCAGCTTTCACCTGAGATTTCACTGAAGTTTGAGTCACACAGCTCAGTCCGGCAGAACCTGGACCAGAACCAGACCCGGTTCAGATTGGTTGGGTTTCAGCAGTTTTTAGATGAGCCACAGGAACAAAACGCAGGAATGGACCCAGACCGGTTCCGTTCTACTGCGACCCAGACCGGTTCCGTTCTACTGCGACCCAGACCGGTTCCGTCTACTGCGACCCAGACCGGTTCCGTTCTACTGCGACCCAGACCGGTTCCGTTCTACTGCGACCCAGACCGGTTCTGTAGCTCAGGTAAACAGAAGTCTGGAAAGAAACAAGTCGACCCGACAGCAGCAGAACTGGACCCAGAACCAGACGGTCCGATCCGGTCCAGTCAGAGGATTGATTTGAGGTCCAGACGGCAGAAAGCAGAGATCGACCAGGTCAAAGGTCACCCAGGGGTCAGACTAATGAGTGATTTTCAGGAATTATGCAGATCCCTCAGTGCCGAACCAGACTCCATCAGAACCGGCTGGGTTTCCGAACCAGTTCCAGAACCGGTTCCGCGTACCTGATGATGGTGACGAACTGGGTCATGGTGAGTTCGTGCGGAACCAGGAACTTGGTTTTGTCCAGAGGCGGAAGGTTTTTCCTTGTCGTATCGCTCGATGATCACCTGAAGTTCAGAGGAACCAGGTGAGTCCAAACAGAACCAGCTCCAGGACCACGGCCGAACCGGACACTCACCGGGATCTTGTTCGGAAATTTGGACCGGATCCCCGCCACCTCCATCTTCCTGGTCTCTGCGGAGAGAAAACAGAATCCGAATCAGTTTTTCCTTCAGAGTTCTGGATCCCCGGTTCCGGTTCTGAGACCACCGAAGCTCTTGCGCTGTTTGAAGGGTTTGTTCTGCTGCGCGGTTCGGTCGTGCGGAGACATGCTGGGTCTGGACCGAACCGCCGCCCAGCCGCCTTTAAATACAAGCGGCTGCAGCGCATTAGCTGATTAGCGCGTCTATTGATTAGCGCGTCTATTGATTAGCGCGGCTGCTGATTGAGCAGATCAATGGGCCCCGCAGGGCCGGTCAGAGGCCAGCGAGGGCCCGAGGGGCCCTGGACAAGGTTTAAAGTTTTTTTTTATTAAATCAGAAACCATAATTTAACTCCTCATGATAATTTCAAGCCTCGTTTCGTCACTTCCTGTTTGCGTTTATTCACTGATTGAAACGTTTCACAGCAGTTGGAAGATCTGGACCAATGGCAGCTTTTTATGACTTAAAATATGTGACTGAAATTTGATTTAATTCAATTTATTTGTTTTACATGAGGACCAGTTTGTCTCTTTAACAAATGATGAAACTGAACAGAACAAAACGGAAGAGAGAAGAACAGGAAGGATGAGCCGGAAACCGGGTTTCCGGTTCTGGTCCTGATGACGGGACGAGAAAATAAAATATTAAGAAGCTTTTTGGTAAAACTGTGAAAAAATACAACAGAATAAGATAAACAGATATTTATATTCAATTCAAACAGCAAAAGGTTTTTAATAAAACAAAATTTAATTAAATTAATAATTAATAGAAGCAAATACCTGCAAATTTTAAAAAGTATTTCAGCCAGAGTTTTAAAAAGTTATAAGTATTTAAAATCAGCAATAAAACTAATTAGCATGAGAAAAATAAGTAAAAAGCCTCTTAATTTATTATTATTATTATTATTATTATTATTATTATTATTATTATTATTATTATTATTATTATTAAAACTCCCATCAGATCCAGATTTCATTTCCCAAAAGGGAAAATCAGCAATAAAACAAATGATAAAATCATTTAAAATCAATAATCAATAGAATCCAGTTTTCTTGTTTTCACTCAGATAATTTCTGAGTATTTATTGACAGAACCATCGAATCCAACTGGACCCGCCTTCCTTCCAGAACCACAGCAAGTTCTGGTTCTGGATGTTCTAACAGAACATCTGAGGATCAAAGTTCAACATCAGAACCTCTCAGTTGGTTCTGATCCTGAAGAGATGGACTTTTCTGACCCGGTTCTACTAGAACCCTGAACATGATGAAGAAGCTTCCTCTTCATCACTGAGTCCAGAACCGGATCCGACAGGAACGTTGAAAGTCTGGAGAACTTTTACAGAACGTCAGAGGCTGAAACTGGAAAAAATAAAGTTTTTTCCAGAACCAGACGGTCCGATCCGGTCCAGTCAGAGGATTGATTTATTGAGGTCCAGACGGCAGAAAGCAGAGATCGACCAGGTCAAAGGTCACCCAGGGTTCAGAACAGGACCGGTTTGAGCTGGCTGGACCATGGGGTCAGACTAATGACCCCACACCTCAGAACACGATTACCTTCGTATTTCAGTAATGAAGGCACCAATAACACGGCTGCTTAATCATTAACAAAGCCTGCAAGTAAAACTGCAAACAGTTCAGTCAGTTCCTGGTCCAGTTCCTGAGAACTGGACCATCATCATCCTCATCATACACATCATCATCATCACCATCATCATCGTCGTCCTGTCTGATCCGTTCATGTCGGAACCGATTCGACAGGACGTTTGGGTCGGTTCTGGTCTGTGGGTCGCAGATAAACCAGAACCTCTGGTAAAGTCCAAACCAAAGTCCAGATGAAGCTGATAACAGAACCGCTGAGTTTTCAGCTGATTATTGATCAGAAGTGGTTTTGATTGGAGCTGCATTCCCAGCAGCTGCAGATCAATAATCATCATCGATTCTGAGGGTCAGCAGCGCCACCATCAGATCACACATAGAACTTCCACCATTAATTTGTTTCATATCTGAAGGTTTAATGAAAACAACAGTGTTGTATAAAGTACTGAAATCTCAGAGTCCAGTGAAAGTATCGGTACCGCTCCAAAATATGACTTTATTAAAAGTAAAAGTCACTGAAATGTTACTTGAGTTAAAGTCTTAAAGTGTCTGAAACGTCTTGAAGTCTGAAAATTACTGTAACAATGGATGAACTCAAGTAATGTAATGAAAAGTAAAAAGTAAAACAAGGCAAATGCAGTTTGAATGATGTTTTTATATTTTGGTAAACTTGTTAAATACACTTAAAATAATGAACACAAGCAAGTGCAGGCAAAATGAAACCTGCTAATAGATAAACCTGCAGCATCATTTAGTTAAGAACATTAGATGTTTTATCTAAACCACAAGGTTAACTTAACCTGCTTTAGATTAACTTAACCTGCTTTAGGTAAACTTAACCTGCTTTAGATTAACTTAACCTGCTTTAGGTTAACTTAACCTGCTTTAGATTAACTTAACCTGCTTTAGGTAAACTTAACCTGCTTTAGATTAACTTAACCTGCTTTAGGTTAACTTAACCTGCTTTAGATTAACTTAACCTGCTTTAGGTAAACTTAACCTGCTTTACAAATATCATATTTATATAAAAATGTTTTCAAAACATTTTTATATAAATATGATATTTTATCAGCCTCATATTTATTATACTTTATTTATTTATTCTAACCCTGACTTCCGGTGTTTTACTATTTTTATTTTATTATTTCAGATTATTAAATAATATTTTCCTGAAAG